TGATGCTAAACTTTGTTACTGAATGATTTGTGTTACAGAAATATCAGAATTTCCTTATGTCAACTGTCTTACAGTAAGCTCTCATCAGATCTTTAACCACTGTCATTTGTAAGTCTTTTGTCATCTATAGTTACTGTTTTATTACTCCTAAACTAGTAAAAAACTAGATTTCAGCAGAACAGCTATTAGTTACATAAGATTAAGTAAACTCAGGAAGATGATTTGGCGGCTTTTTGTTTAAAATGTTGTTGATAAAGTATTTTAAGCTTTTTCTCTTAAGCTGACAACAATTTAGTAAATGACTGTCTTTGTAAGCAGAATTGAAACTTTATCTTTCTACCTGATCCCTCCAGAATTTAAAAACTCTCGGTGACTATTTTTATATTTCCTGGCAATATGTTTATTTGCACAAATTCAATAAGAATCTGCTTTCCTTGTAAGAGGACCAATTAAAAACACTGGTTATATTACCAAGGCTTTGACTGGAACGTCATACCTGAGAGACACATGTATAAACTCAAATATGAACAGATGGCTTTAAGGAACTAAGATTGACTTTATAAAGCCAACAAAGCCCCTTAGAAGAAATGGCCTGGTACCTTGCTTACAGAGTTCCCAGCAGCCTTACCAGGTGAGTAAGGAAGTCACTTCCTGGCAGGTGCAGGAACCTCAGGAATGTCTTAGGACCCTCAAGAAGAGGGCCAAATCTACAGGTACTGCAGGCACAACCTGATGGCAAGTCTGCCTTGGCTTTCTGGCCTCAAGAAGCCCTTAAAAGTTCAATCTGAAATTCCTTACAAAAAGTTCCAGCAAAGCATATTTAAAAGAGCCTATGTAATCAATTGCTCTTCTTGCTGCACTTACACAAATAATCAAGCCAAGTGTTACTTATTTTCTTAACCTGGTTACTTCTAATAAAAATGAGAGTGATTTTACAGAGAAGTATTGTTTCAATAATGCAGTCTTATCTATACTAAATCCTAATACTAGTCATTGAGATGTAAACTCGATCCAGAATTCTAGTTTCCCCATGATACCTACCTATGATTCTCAATTAGACTCTTCATATTTCTAGTTCTCATATTCAGCCATGCATTCTTAATCTCATCTAGTTTGTCCTTCCAGAATAGAAGCACCAATCTTCCGAGGCCCTCTCAACTGACCAGTGATGGAAACCTAGCTGCACCCTTTACTGCCCTCTCAGCATAAAGCAGCCAGAGCGGTCATCGACCCTTTTCCCTAGCAGCAGCTAGAGTCTCTATCTGTAGAGGAGAAAATGAGACAGGAACCATAGGCTTAGACAGAATAAGGTGAAAGCCTCTGGAAAAACCAAGGCAGGATATTTGCAGTCAAAGCAATGTAACTACATGCTAGGAAACCTCCCCCCCCCACGATGCCTCTTGTCAGCCGGAAGTAGCCAGATCGAGTCGTCACCCATTATGACCAAAAGGCTGGAATGTAAGGCTGGAGGCACTGGAGGGAGAAGGGCAAGGACAATGCAGGTGGAGCAGAGACAGCACCAAGTAGCTCTGTGCCTTATGGGGAAGGAAAAAACAGCTCTTCCTGGATTCCAGTCCCATGATGTGTTGACAAACCCTGGATGCAAACCCCCTCCATCCGGAAGGAGGAGACCTCTGGCTGTCCATCACCTGACCCTGAGCCAATAAAAAATTCCCCACATACCTCTAGCGAGGCGCACTTCCCCAGCCCTTCCCTGTTCTCTTAAAAACTCCCTGCCTTCCCTCCTGAGCGTGACTTCCCCGGCCTGTGATACCCAGACCGGGGAACATCACCCAGAAATTGTGCTCAAATAAACTGCTTGGCCCTTTGTTGCCTCTCGTCACCTGCTTATTTCAGTTGGAATTTATCTTACATTTTAGAATTTATCTTACAATGCTGAAGTGTGTCGCTTTCCTGCCAAAGTCTTGCTCCTCAATAACCCTCTCTTTCTTCTAGATAACCCTTTCCACTATTTCTAGGAAAAGAGATCTTACAATTCCAGCTGCTACATAGCCACTCAGGGCCTCTAAGCAGTCTTCTGTCTCACAGAGGGCTAATTCCTCAGCTTCCAGTGTCTCCACCCTTCTCCAGTTTTGGGGAAGGCCCCACCCCTCTAGGAGGTGCTTTACCCTAGACCAGTTCCCCACTAGGGGCTCCCCAATTGGAAGCCCCACGTATAGTGGGCTCCTAGGTAAAGCTGCACCTTCTACTGCTGCAGCTACTGGGGCCTCCCCACCATCCACAGTGGGGTTTCTGCGCATCTGCCCACCATCTCTAGGGGCGGCCTGCCCAAGGACCACACCCATGTAGACAGATTTTGGGTTCAGAGGTCCTGCCGACTACCACCAGATATAACTCCGGGGTGAAAATCCCAGGGCAAGATAACCTTTGAAACTGAAATTAGTCAATGGGAGAAATTAAGTGAGAGAAACCCGTTTATTTCTTACAAGCACTGGTTCACTTCTGCTCTCCGGTGTCAGTTGCCACAGGGCTGCAGAAGAGATCCCACCCAACCTCTCCCAGTCCAGATAAACCATCACTTGCTATTAGCTACTGATATGGAGATGGCCTATTTTTTTCTACTCCTTGGAAATACCTATTGATAATGGAGATACACTAAGGCCAGGCAAGAGATTCTGGAAATACTGCAATTTTGTCCACAGTTAGGTAAGTGACTTAAAATATCCTTGTAGACCTAAAGCCGTTGTTAAAAATATTTTCAGCTCCAGGCTTATAGTTTTTAATGGATGAATTCTCCACATATCAAAGAATGTAATTCTTACAAAACAATTTCCAGGAAATCTAGACAAAAGGGAATACCTCAACACAAAGTATGTCATAACCATACAAAGGTAATATTAAAAAAACAACAACTATAAAGCAATCTTATTTATAATATTTATGCAAAGACCTGAAAAAAATAGCAAATGGAAATACTACATTTAAAAATACATATTATATAATAATAAGGGAGAAATGTGGGATTCACATATAAATCAAGTATAAAAATCAAACAAATAATCATATTTGACTTGATTGCTTATAGTTCATGATGCGTGATCAAAACCGAAAGTTTCTGTGGTATGACTGCCCTTGCACTGTTCACCATGTAAGAACTTATTCACTATGTAAGAATTCGTTCACTATGTAAGAACTTGTTCGTTATGCTTCAGAAGATTGGAGACTGTTGAGAATTACGCTTGGGGTTGATTAATGATTGTGCATTGAGTTCCCTATACAGAATTTTATTGTTGTTAACAACCATTTGATCAATAAATATGAGAGATGCCCTCTCAAAAAAAAAATACATATTATAACCAAGTAGAATTCATTGCAGGACTTTATAATAATTCACCATATGAATAAATTATGGGGGAAAAACATGCATCATCATATCATTGGATACTGAAAAATCATTAAGTAAAATTCAACCTCGAATTTATCTTTTTAAAGACACTCATACAGAAGCATTGAGTACTACCTTAGCATGTGAAAATATATGTATTCCAAATGGTAACACTATAACAACTATCATTAGAAATCATAGAACTATCACTAATATTGTTTGCTTAACTTGAGAATATCTTTAAAATGCATGAAAGTACAGACTGGAACCATAATTGTGGGTAAAATTGTAGTATTTCCAGAATATCTCACCTGGCCTTAGTGCATCTTCCTCCTCAGGAGTGAAGTACGGCTTTATCATATTTGCATGTCAATAGGCGTTCCTCGGGTGGAGAAAGGTGGTATTCATATCAATGGGTAATTACCTTGGCAAAGGAGGGCTTATCTGAACCTGAGAGGTTAAGGGAAGTGCAGGTTGGTTTCTGCTGAAGCAGGAGAGAGAAAAGGCCTCGGACTGCAGTTTGTAAGCAATGGGTTTTAAACTTTACTTCTCGCTTTGACTGATTTTAGACATATTTTGCTCCCGGATTTCCTCTCCCCATACTTACAATAATCAAGTATTCATGTTTGGTAATATTTGATTCAGATCCTTATTTAATCAAAACATAAAACATTATATACTCAATTGTTGTTCTCTGGGCCTTTTAGTTTCTTCTCTCTACCACTCACTCCTATAATGAACGTGCTGTGTATTTATGATTTCAATCCTTCTAAATTTTTTGACTCTTAAATTCTGTGGTCCAGCATAACACCTATGTTGAAGAATATTGTATGCATATTTGACAGTCTTTAGGTAGTGTTCCATGTACATTAATTACTGTGAGCAGATTCACAGTATTGTCTTTTTTTTCTAATTTTATCTACTTGCTTTTACCTTTATTAATTTGCTTTCTTATGGTTTCCTCTCTTGTGCTTTTCCAAGCTTTTTGATAATTTAATTCACTTGTTTTTACTGTTATAATTAACTCAAAACTATGAAATTTCTTGTCTTCACTGTTCTGTTTCTTCCATAAATTTTTTAGTGTTGTTTGCAGTTTTCTCTGCGTTTCCTTATTTCATGCAATATTTGTTGAATAGAGAACTTAAAAAAAAAGATTTTTACGCAGAAAGGCCTTTTTAAAGTATGCTATTTATACATGTATTGCATGGTTACGAGAGCATAGTTTGATGTCTTGGACCGAGAGTAGCATGTTCACGATTGCTACTGCTGGTGAGCTTTTCTCTCTCTTTACACCCTTACGAAATTGATAACTGTACTATTCAGTACACTGATCTTCAAAGTTGTTTGATAAGCCTGCGAGCAGCAACTCGCGCCCTTACTGGGTCCTCCATGCCTTCGGGTCCAATCGGAAGATCGGGGCCAGCCGGTTACTCGCTGTCCGGGGAGCACCTACCTGGAGGCCAGGATTTCGCGGAACGCTCGTCCTCCGCACTTTCCCCCCGGCGGACCGGCCTCTTGCGCCGGGAGACCGGTCTTGTGTTCGTAGAGCATTCTGGGACATGTATTTTTTACCGGTGCCATTCGTTCGGCGCATCGATGCCCGATGTACTTCCGTGTGCGCCGCACCCCACACCCGGGCTGTTTCCGGCTCGCAGTCAGTGGACCCAAGGAGACCGGGCGGTCTGCCTTTCTGCGGCCGGGGACCCGACTGAAGTGATGCATTAAGCGTGCTCGGAACATCCTGTGCAGCCCAGAATCTCGGCAAGCTGAGCCACCGGACGATCGGTCCGGAGTGTCAACGGAGCCATCCAGGACACTGTCTCTCGTTGGGGCCGCCGAACTGTACAGACTCATCGGTTCGACTTCCTTTGCCCAAGACCGGAGGCGTGTCACTGCGAGCACTCAGTCCCGGACCGGCAGGTGCCTGGTGCGCGCAAGGTCTCTTCTGGGTGGGCGGGGTGGGATCAGGAGGGAGACCCTCACGGTTCGGTTCTCCACTCCACAGTCCGCACGAAACAGCGCGGGATGGCCGCCGGGTTCCGGACAGCTTCGTGTTGGGTGAGTACGTACTTCAAAAGCTGACTCTGCACCGAGGGTGGACACGTTCATCCCTTCATGGTCACACCCAGGGCCTGAACACACGTGTTCCTTCTACCCTCTTCTCCTGCTTATGTACTGAGTCATTTTGTGTCCAGGACTCGGGCTGGTGTTGGCAGTGCAAACCTAAATAATGTGCGTTTCTTATTTTAGAGGGGCTGTGGTCTGGCGGGGAGGGTAATCAAGTAAACACTGGGCACAGAAGCAGGTGAATGGGTAGAGAGAGGAGGCTGGGAGAGGAGTTTGAGAGTACAAAGCAGGAAGGAACACTTTGGGAGGGGAGGGCCCGTGGACCACCTGTACTACACAGGTGATGGAGAGGGGAGACTTCACAATGATGGCAGAACTTCTGACTTGTTGCACACAGTGGTTTCTGGTTTTGGGAGTGCCATGAGAAGAGGTATCCAGCGACAGAGTGTAGTTTTTTTGTAGGTGTTGAATATGCAGTGCCTGTATTTGGGCCTGTAACTCAGGTGGGAGTTCTCAACTGGAAGTACCCATATTAAAGGCACATATGTTAGTGTTTCTTAAGGGTGTGACAGAATAGAGCCCTGAAAAGGACAAGTGAAGGCTTAGGGCAATGACAAGGAAAGGCCTGCAGTGCAAGAAGGGCTGTGTTGCCAGAAGTTTCTGAGAGAAAGTTTGGAAAGTGGTTGTTTTCCCTGCAAATTTGGGAAAAAAGAACTTAATAAACACCATGATATGAAGTGCCTCAGAGTATTCTTTCACGAGAGAAGAATGTATCTGTTGGACTTGGGGATCTATAGATCTTAAGCAGTTTTTCCAGAGCAGAGAGAATGTTCAGTGTATTGCAGATGGTAACTTCCTGAGAGGTAAAGAGAGTGTTGTGGACAGCAGAATGTGAAAAAATTATTAGTAATAGCATAGACCTTTTTTTAGGTGGTCAGGTGTGCCAGGAAGAGTTTGGGTGTCAGGAAGATGGGATTTCATTGAGGCAGCCTGTGTTACAGTCTACCTCTAAATCAATGAGCTTCTTATTTTAAAATAATTTAACTGTGTAGGAAATATAATGAGAGAAAACTTATTTACAATAGCAATACAAGATAAAACAAGTGCACATAAGCATACTTATAAAGAATAAGCAAATAAAAAAGACTTTAAAACTACTGAATAATATTAATACCTACCATTCTTGGCTAAGCTCTTTGTGTATATGAAGCCATTCAAGTCTCATAAACCTATGAGGCAGGTATGTCCCTGTTTTACAGGAGGAAACAGCTACTCAGGGTCCCAAACTAGTTGGGATACTAAGAGACTTGGATGGCGGATCTAGGATTCACATCCAGGCAGAGTGTCTTTATAGTCTGTGCTCTTACTGCCTCTTAGGACTTAAAAAACATTTTAACAAGTTTAAAATGTTTCCTTGTTTTTGAGTGCATCTTTTATTTTAACAAACATTTACTGACTGTTATGCTGGGTAATTTCCTAGGGCATGCAGTGGTGAACAAGATTGGCAGGGCCCATGATCCCATGGAGGGCATGGGAGACACACAGCAGAGAAACATCATAAATAGACAAAAAAGTTGTGAATGTTGCCGAAAGAGACAGGATGGGCAGCTGCTTTAAATTGGCAACCATCTCTTGAGGCAACTTTTTTGCAGTCTGGATGACAATTTGACAATCATGGGAAGATGGGAGAAGGGGAAGAGGAAGCATTCCAGGATTTGGAAGCGGCTAAGTCAATGGCCTTAAGGCTAGAACCAGCAGGTGTGTTGTCTCATGGAAAGAAGGCGGGCTGGAGTGGGGAGGGAGGGAGGGAGGGAGAGTGTGACAGTCAGGGCCAGAAATTTAGAGCTCTTTGAGGCAAAGGATCATGCTGGAAAGCCCTAGGGGTGCATTTTATATTTTATTTTATTTGGAAGTATTGAAAAACTATAGAGAAATTGCAAGAATGGTATGAAAACTTATGTATTGTATTTAAAAAATAAACACCCTTCACCAAGATTCCCTAGTTCATACTTTGCCACATTAGCTCTATCATTCTATGTGTGTGTGTGCCTATGTGTATATAAACATACAGGTTCATTCTCCACTCTCCCCACTTCAAGGTTTCAGTCCTTGGTGTCCCTCCACCTTTCAAAGCTAGCTCTTGCCTGCACATCTCATCGTTTTCCCAGGCCTGTCTCTTCCCTTCTTTCCTTACCTCCTTCCTTTTCCTTATTCCCTTTTATTCTTCCCTTCCTCCATGTTTTTATTGACACAAATGCACCAGTAGTGTATTCACAGTGGAAAGATTACTTCACCCCCCTTTATACTCTCCAGAAAAAACTGACATCAGCTTTCTGCTATGCAACCTTCCTATCATTTTTCTCTGCATTTTCATGTATGATCATGTACACTGGTATCTGTTTTGTGTTTTTGTTTGGATATAGCTTTATTGCTTTTATTCTTTAAAATTTTTACTGCATTCTTTGAGAAAACATGATTTTGCTTTGGCCATTTCTTGAACCCTCTCTGCAGAGGTAGTCAGTGGCTTAGGAAGGGTTTCCATCCAGACCTTTTCTAGAAATATAAAAACCTTGTTTCTTTCTGTCCTATAAATTGTGCAGTTTGCTATTTCACTTAACTTTATTTTGGATTTCTTCATAATAATACATAAATATCAGGCACATTACTCTTAATAGCTCCACTTTATATCCTACTATGTAATTGGGCTACATTTCCTTGAGCTATTTCTCCACTCATGAGGATTTAAGTCCACTTTGTGGAATGACCTCCCCATGTTCTGGTATGAGCAGCTTCACAGCTGGCAAACACTGGGGCTCCCTACCATTCCTACTCCCAGATATGCATCTCAGCTTTTGATCTGCTGAAATTTCTTTTTGAGACACAAACATATTTAAAATTTAAAAAATAACTGAAGAAAATTATGAATCTTAAAGCTGGTGGGTGTGTATAATTCAACATTTGAAAAGCTTTTATGTGAATGATAGCATACTGTGTATTAATTGTTCTGCAGTTTGTAAAAATGTCTTCATAGGATGAATGTACCATATTCTTATTTAGCTATTCCCTTATTGATGGAAGTTGAGGTTGTTTAGCTTGTTGCTCTCATAAACTCTGAAACATTGAAGAGCTCTGCACAGGTATGACTATTTCCTATTTCATTAATTTTTAATCACATATTTGATACTTTTCTACATTCTCTTAGAACACAATTCAGTCTTTTATCAACATCTTCACATCTCAAGCTCCTTTCGTTTCTCAGAGGTAATTAATCTGGAGTATATTCTTCTAGATCTTTCTCCATAAATATTTCTGTGGATGTTTATATTCTTAAAATGTGTGTTTTGTGGCTTGTCTTGAGTTTTTACACAAATGGGTTTTACACTATACAACATATTACTTCTGTTTTTCTCATGCAAAAAATATATCTGTAGGTGTTTCTGTAATTATTTAAATAGATACCCCTTTATGGCTTATTTTGATTTTTTTTCTTTTTAATTGAATTCTAACTTAAATATAGTAAAATGCATAAAACTTAAAGTAATATTTACATACACTCAGGACACTCCTACCCAAATAGAAATAAAGCTTTCTACTTACATTTTCTAGTTGATTACTGCTAATGTATCCAAAGGTATTCTGTATTGATTTTTTTTTAACTGCCACCCTATTGACATTTTTTTCTCCTTTAACCCATTTTTTAAAATTAAGGTATTATTGATACACGCTCTTATGAAGGTTTCACAAGAAAAACAATGTGGTTACTACATTCACCCTTATTGTCAAGTCCCCCCTCATACCCCATTGCAGTCACTGTCCATCAGTGTAGTAAGATGCCAGAGTCCCTACTTGCCTTCTCTGTGCTACACTGTCTTCCCTGTGACCCCCCCACACACCATGTGCCCTAATCATGATACCCCATAATATCCACCTCCCTACCCCTCACCCTCCCCTACTCCTCCCCTTTGGTAACCACTAGTCCCTTCTCGGAGTCTGAGTCTGCTGCTTTTTTGTTCCTTCAGTTTTGCTTCATTGTTATACTCCACAAATAAGAGGGAAATCATTTGGTATTTGGCTTTCTCTGTCTGACTTACTTCACTGAGCATAACACCCTTTAGCTCCATCCATGTTGTTGCAAATGGTAGGATGTGTTTATTTCTTATGGCTGAATAGTAGTCCATTGTGTGTATGTACCACACTTTCTTTATCCATTCATCTACTGATGGACCCTTAGGTTGCTTCCATTTCTTGGCTATTGTAAATAGTGCTGCACCTGTTGACATTTCTTATTGGTTCTCATGTTATATCAGCTGGTTCTCTTAGTTTTTTTTTAGACAAATGATTGTAAATCATGACAATAGTTTTTCCTCCTTACTCAGTGTTTATCTGGCATTTGATTTTGTTTCTGCTGTTGTTAGGTCCACTAGGGCAGGACTGATAGTAGGGTTGTTACTGGTATCTTTGTTTTGTTCCTATTCTTATTTTTTTATTTTAAAGGAAATACTTTAACATCCTTATGAGGATATAAATTTAATGTACTAATTTAACAGTGTACTAATGTGACTTATTTCATTGATAGGGTTTTTTGTTATTTTAAATGTAAATTTTGGAGTGTCCTTTAATTTTTTGCATAAACTTTCTTCTAGTTTGCTGTGAATGTATGCGCAGGATTTATTTTACTACTAGTATTTGTATCTAGGTGTTTTTATCAGAGTTAATAATAAATGAAATTAGACTATAGTTTCTACTGTCCTTGCCCGATTTTGTTGGTGGGGTTGTGCACATCTGTATGATGTGTTATACAGGTATCCCATCATTTCCTGGCTCAACATGAGATTACGTATTATGGGAGTTTACTGTCCATTGGACTGAAAGGACTTGCTTTTAAATATGGTGTGGGACCACTGCCTTTCTGAAAAAGCATACCTTTATTACTACCTTAGTTACTTTATGATTATTCATTAGTCAGTCTGGCTTGCCTAATTCTTTCTGAGCCAATGTTAGTTATGCTTATTTTCCTAGAAAATTTTCCATTTCCTTTTAAGTTTTCAAATTTGTTGGAATAAATTTGTAAATACAGTCAGTTCTGCTATCAAGTTTAAGAATATTTGTTTCAGTGCAGTTGGTATCTGAGGGAACAACGTGAGTCTTCTGTCTGATTTCAGACAAGCTCCACCACTTTATAATAAGCTGCCGCCCTTCTGAAACCCAAACATTAGGTCTTTTTCACGGTAAAGTGCCATATTTATTGTAGCTATACGTATTTCTTAGACATTAAACATGTAAAACTAAAACCTTTTATTGAGTTTGTGATTTTCTTTTTTTAATGTGTTGCTGACAAAAGTGTTAGGCCCCACCCAATCCTTCCCACAAGCCTTGTGGTTTTTACTGTGCAAGTTTGCATAGTGGTGATTTTTTTTTTTTTGCAATATACATGTTGCATTACAGCCGAACTGCCTGTGTATCTTTTAGAAATATTGAAATTTACAGATTCTGTCTTGGTCATAAAAGTTTTCTTTTTTTAGTTCCCTCATGCTTGGCTGATTAAAAAAACTTTTATTTTTATTCTTACCAGGCTTAAAAAGTAGTAAGATTTAAAATAAAATAAGCCTCCTGGTTTATCCTCACTCTCTGCTCTGCACCTTCCTTCCATCCTGCCCTGGAATCAGCTGGTTTGGTCTGAGTTCTCTTCTGGCATCTGCTTCAAGCTTTCTGTGGTCACATTGGTATGCTTTGCTTCAGGTTTCTCCTCCCTCACTATAAAGTAGCCAGCTTGATGACTGGCTTGCACTTATTAGGAGATACAGGTGAAACATAGCGTCATTTTTCTCCCTCAGACTTCAGGCATGCCCTGTCATCTCAGCCAGAGTCCGTAAGGTTGTGGTCACAGTCTTGTGTAGCTGTCATGGTCAGGCACGGAGAAGTCCAGTCCACACTCCAGTTGCAATCCCTCCTCCTTCCTGCCTGACTGATGCTGCAGAAGCAAAGTAGGGAGGCTTGTCTCTTCATTCTCTGTTCATTTTCTCATTGTCCTCTTGTGGGGCTTCTGCTGGGCTGAGTGGGAAGATCAGTAACCAGAGGACAGAAGCACTGCTTTCCAGTGGTCAGGAACCCACACAACCCCAGGGCTTGCGTGGAGCCTGGGACAGGGATCTATCATGATGCAAGCAATTCTCTTTCACTTACTTGCAGGCTACCCGAGAGTTGTACTCACTGTCTCTGTGTGGTCCCCCTACCTGCAGGCAGCACTATTGGGTAGGATCCTGTCAAGGGTGATCAAGTCTGGGAATTACTTCTCACCCACTTTTGCAGAGCATTCCAGCGGTCTCCAATTTCAGCATTTCCCAGACAGAAACATTTCAGATGCCTTGCTTACTGAAATCCCTAAACACAGTTCCTTCTGATGTGAGCTCAGCAGATGTCCAGGTTGCAGGTGCTCCTCAGTGGGGACACTTCTCCCCACTTAAGGGAGTAGTGCCTGCTTCAGGAAGAGCCCTTCTGGCTGCTGCTGCCATCTTCATCCCTCATCCCTCAGGCTTTCCACCTCATTACAGGGCAGCACCTTCCATTTGTTTGGGAAGGGTCTTTGCTGTCCTCCTTAACACCCTTCTCTCTTTACCTGTGCCATCTCCACCAGAACATTTTCTGGCTCTGTCCTCACACAATGCCCAGAACCGAACCTCTGCTTGTTACGCCATTGTTCTGGCTCTGGCTCCAGCTACCTTCATCCTCCACCAGGACCAGGGCCTCCTCTCTCCACAGTGGTCAGGATGAGCTCAGATGTGAGTCAGAGCATGCCATTCTTGTTCAAGGCCTTCCGGTGGTGGCTTCTCCCTTGGAATGAAATCCCATCTTTATTGTAGCCTTTGTGTTCATGACACCTTGAAGGCTGTTCCTGTAGTAATCCTGGAGCTCATTCTCACATTGCTTGGGTTTTTGCCCAGATATCACCCTATCAGAGGGATCCCTGATAAAGAATCTGTAGGAACAGAAGCCCACTGAGTAGAGGGAATGTGCCCATGGCCGAGCCCCCAGCACCTAAAGCAGTCCTGGCACATGAGTGGTATTGAGTAAATGGTTGCTGAATGATCCCCTGAAAATCTGTACCTTGTTACTTTTTGGTTCCATGAAAAGAATTTATTACAAGCACAATGGGTAATTCACAAACATCAAGAACCATGCTTATAGGCTGCACAAAACCACTACAGAACTGCCTGGTAAGGACTGTGGCTACTTCTATGCACAAACTGCTGCCTCCCCACACCCACTCTGTGGGCTGTCCATCATCTGCACTTTCAAGACACTCACTCCAGGTTCAGGGTCTTTGCTAGGGTATCTCACAGTTGGCTCAGTCATGGGTTCCTTGTTTTCTTGAATGAAGGCTGGTAATTCACCTATTTAGCACATTTTTTCTTAAAGAGCCAGGCTCTCACTCCCACTGAGACTTAAGATAGACCAAGCAGCCAGCGTGATGGCAGATCCTTCCAGAAGGTCACACCTCCCTGTGTCTGGCATCCTTATTTAAAATTGCTCACCCATCTTTATGCAAAATACACCCTGGATATGTATATCAAAAACTGTAAACATGTTTTGTTTTATGTAGTTTGTTTCCCTTCATAAGACTGAAAGCTTCTCAAGGGCAGAAGTGCACTGTATTCATCTTGAAATCTTTAGGACCTAAAAGAGTATCAAGCACATAGGAGCTAAATGTTTTTTCCCCCAATTCTGTCTCATAGTGAATGCTGATGTGGGCTCAGGGGCAGTCTGGGAAGAACAGCCCTCCTTTCCAGCTCCTTCCCATCTTTTTCATATCACCTGCTGTAATTGTGTGCTACTGAATTGTGTGTCATTACAGGGGTTATTGTCATTCAGGGACATATCAATGGAGTTCACCTGGGAAGAATGGCAGTTACTGGATTCCACACAGAAGTACCTATACAGGGATGTGATACTGGAAAATTATAGCCACCTGGTGTCTGTGGGTGAGTACAGCTTCTCTGTTTAACTCAAATTGCGGATCAGGAGGGGCCATCCCTTTTCCTTTCATTGGTGCACCCTGGGCCTCTGATATACTTCATCACAGATTTGGACTTAAAGAGGCCAGATGCTCTCGGTCACTACCTGATCCTCTCCCACTAACGATAGCCTTTCCCCAGGTGAAGATGAGCAGTTAGCTTTTGTGGCTCCCGATCCTTTTGGCCCCAGCAGTTTGTGATTTTCAATTAACAGGGTATCATGGTACCAAACCCGATTTGATCTTCAAGTTGGAGCAAGGAGAAGAGCCATGGATAATAAATGCCAGAATTTCCCATCAGAGCTGTTCAGGTGGGTGAGTGGGAACTGGGAAGATGGGTGGTGCCCAGCCATGGAGGAAGTCCTGGGAACTGCTGGAGTGATGTGGTGAGCTCCTCAGACTCGAGGTGGCCATCCTCCCATGCTCGGATTTGCTTCTGTGGCCCCAAAAGGTACATGTGTCTTTGTGCACTCTGTTCAAATACTGCTTTGGGTTGGTTTCTTTCCTTCCAGCACTCCTTTCTCTGCCTCCCTTCACATAGTCCTGGGCCACATCCAGTGTCTAGGCCTTGCTTCTGCTGGGTATGGCTCCCTCTTCTTCCCATGTGTCTTCTCTTTTGCCCTCCATGGGAGTTCCTTAGATGTCCCCCCCCCACCACCATCTTTTGCTTTCTTCTCTCTTTGAAATTATAATTGTTACTTTCTTTGGTACTTTTCTTAATGGAATTCTGAAGCCTAGCCTGGTCTTCTGTGTGCCACTGAGTGATTTTATCACCTTCCCCGGATTTTCCTGCTCTTCCCTTCTGATGTCCACAGGGGTTCGTTTCCCAAATTCATCTGCTCTGTCCAATGTTTTAACTATTGAAAGGCTCTTCCATTCTGAAAATTTAAACTGATCTACAGTTGAAGACATCCTCACCCTCTTCCCTCCTGTGCTCTGGTCCCGGGA